GTAGGTAGGTAGGTAGGTAGGTAGGTAGGTAGGTAGGTAGGTAGGTAGGTAGGTAGGTAGGTAGGTAGGTAGGTAGGTAGGTGTCAAATGAAATAATTTGACCTGAAATTAGAATCCATGGGTTTTGTTTATTATACTTAATGTTAAATAAAATAGGCTATACATCCCTGAATAAACACTGTAGTATATTCATTTTATAAATGAAATCTTTAGATGTGAGTCAGTGCTCTACATTTGACTTTTAGGAAGGTGGAAGTTTTAGTTTTATTTCATTTGATAATCTACAGCAGCAGGACTATGATGACACAAACACTGTTTCAGTCACACCTAATATTTTCAGTGTCACCAGGTAAAGAAAGAGCTTCTTACTGACAGTAACTGAGTTCAGTCTCTGTTACCATGCTGATAAAACCAGGCCTAAAGAAATCTTAATGACTGAAAACTTTAGGTTTAGCAGTTGTCTGATCTGTTCTCTCTCTCTGGTGATCCACTGACTGAGCATCAGAACCTCATGAACATTAAAGTCTCTGAGTGGAAGAAGAGCTCATCAGGTTTTTAACATGGTTACTCTCTTCCTTGTAGTAACTTGTGAAACACAACATGCAACACATCCTCTGGTACGTCGTGTCCATTTGCATATTATATAAATAATGATGGTGGGCCRCCAGGACCAGAAAATGCCCGGGCCATTTTTGGTCCCAGTCCAGCCCTGTTACACACACACATACAGTAGGAAGGATAAGTTAAAAAAATAATAATAATAGTCATTCTTAGCTCACACAAAATGGCTCTAAATGAATTTTTCAGATACACAGCTAAGGTGTTGGCTTCCCCTGTCAGAAAGTGGGAGAGTTCAGAATTCAAGATGGCATCTACTCACTAGAAAGTCATCAGTGAGTAAAACTTTTTAGTTTTACTTTTAATAATATTTCTGTTTTATTTATTTCAGATTTAGTCAGTCAAACACTTAGTTCTTATCAGTGTTTTAAAGAGGACATTTTAAAGCACCGTTTAGTCAAATTTAAACATGAAATGTCAAAGTTGATTACAACTGGCCCTTCATGGGCTACCATAACTCTCATGTGGCCCTCAGTGAAAATGAGTTTGACACCCATGCTTTAGAGCATAACGTAACTAATTACAGCGAAATAAAGAAAACGTTTTGAACATAGAGAAGAAAGGTAAGTATAATAAAAAAAGAGTCAAGCATTGGACAAGATTTTGACACTCAAAACACGTTTGGTGTAAATATTTCATTAGTGCTCTATTTATCAAGATTGCAGATAACCATTACTAAATACCATGCTAAAATAAAAAGAAAYTGTCATGTGGTAAAAGTGGGCATGTTGTGTGTGATTTACTAAGATTGTGTGCAGAAACAATAASAGGTGCTGTGTTCGTGAGGACCTCCCTGTTAAAATTAAGATTTAGCATGTCTCACTGTTGGAGGTAAAGCAGAAACAACAAAATTCAGTGTTACAAGGAGTTTTTTTTTTTTTTATAGAACAGGGTCAGCAGCTCCAGTCAACTCTTTGTAGCCTTGAAAAATAAAAAATAGACTATTTTATTAGTGCAGTATTTATTTGTTTTACCTTTTTCACTGCCCAATTATCTTGAATGCTGACATGATACTTTAACAATGACATAAAAATGGTTTTAATAATTTTTCAACCAAATCGTGCATGAATCCTGCTTGTTGTCATCTCCTGCTACACCGCCACCACAGCTGTCCAGTGCTCAGGTGAGCAGAGGTGACGGACAGAGAGAGAAACTCTCATTTTCCCTCTCAGGGATTTTAGAAATACACAATCATATTAACTGTGAACTTTGTCATTGTGCAACTATTGTATTGCAGGCTGTATCATTTGGAGAAAGAGTTATAATGGAAAAACAATAAAAAAATTCTGTACATTACTGCAGTTACTGTAATGCTGCAGACATKTCAAGTTGTACAGACTGTTCATAAATTAACTGCATTTTCTCTCATTTTGCATGCATACAGATGTATAGGGCAGTCTTACGTTTCCCACCCCGTCCTACATATCGTTACATTATGTGMGAGTCCCACGGATTTATTGTGTAAATTACAAATGTATGAGAGTCAAAATACAAGTAAATGTCTGAAGGGGGGTTGACACGTATGATCAGATCAGCTGCAGCAGAGATGATAGGTGACTGAAAGGTTGCTACAGCAGGGTGAGCTCCCTCATTTGTTTAAAGGGAAAGAAAATCACATTAAATATGAATATTGTCAGTGCAAATATTGTAGACTAACCCCTAATTTACACTACTTGCGTTCCATCTCCGCTCTGCTCTGGTCCGACCTCNCTCTGACCCTGGCCTGTCTGACAACCCACTTTGACCTGGACCCACTGGCTCTGACCCTGGCCTGTCTGACTAAAAACAAGTTTATTTCTTAATAAACAACTGTTTATTTCATCTGTTCAGTCCCTGTGTCCATCAGTGCCTGATCGTGTCAATAATTCTGATTCTTTCTGCTATTCTTCTGTTATTTTCTAATTTTTTGTGCTTTTATCTGCTAATTCCAGCTATTTCCACTTCTTACAGTTGTTTTCTGCTATATTTAGCTAATTGCTGCAATAGCTGTTAGCTAAAGTTAGCTTTTTAGGCCAAATTCACATTTTCAGCTTTTTTCTGCTTAGTTCAGCAAACCTGTTCTCCTGCTTCCTTATGCTAATTGAAGAATTTCCAGCTACATTTTAGCTGTTTTACTGCAGATTTTGGCTGTTGGACCAATTTTACAAAAAATTATCACATTTTTGCACTTTTCTGCTTTCTTTTCTGCTAATTTTACATTTTTTTAAACCTCTTTCACCATCTGGGTGCTAATTTTAACTTGTGTCTGCTACCTTTAGCCTGTTTTTATGCTAATTTTAGCTTTTTTCTGCCTTTTCAGCTATTATTCTGCTCCTTTCTTCTATTCTGCCAGTTTCTGCTTTTTTGTGCTTCTTTCAACTCTTCAAATGGAACTGGCATTAACAGTTTTGCTGTAAAACATTTTCAGCTCCATTTCTATATCTTTCAGCTAAAGTTTTCATCAATAAGCATTCAAACTAGCATCTTCACAGGAAATGCAATTTCTCTACTGTACAATAAAGAGGGATATTTACTATCACGCTGCAGAGCAGAGGGGATAACACTAGCTAAGATTGAGTTTGTATTTAATTTTGTTAAGCTGCTTTGCTGCAGTTCTGTTATTTTTTATTTATAATAAAGTTGTATATTTATTGTCACACTGCAGAGCAGAGGGGATAACGTGTCTGAAGCTGTGCAGACAGTTTGCACCTGTCTTTCAAACGTACTAAATATAGACACTAAAACAGCGGCACAATCAGTTTCGAGGTTTGATAAATCACACTGTGGGTGTAAAATATCTGCATACCCTCCTCACAGTATTTTGCTTGATCTGATAATCATCGTATAATCTGAATATTTTAGGAAGGCAGAATGAACCGCTGAATGGAATGTAACTGCTGTTTTACTYTGTTGACAGCGGCAGTGCTCTCTGCACACTGTTAAATAAATAAGCTTTTGAGTGCACAATCACATTTGCACATGGTTTTATACGTGGTAAATCGTTGATTAATCAAGACCTTAATGTGCAAAAAATACAACATGGCGGCTTCTGTAAACAGTTGTTAGCTTCAGTAATGGAAGAATGCAGGAGCACTTGGTTTAATATTTTTGTACTTGTGATTTGTTTGATGAAATTAACTACAACTCAGTCAATTTTCAACAAAAGATTATCTTTGTTTAAAACTCTGGCATTAAAAGAAGTGCATGATTTCTTCAAGAAATTCTAGGCCTTTAATTCATTATTTTTTTTCCTTCAAGTTTTTAAAATAATTTTAGTTTTAGATTTTCACTTTYCTCCTTGTCTAGACTGTTTGTGATGTATTAATCCGTGTTTTGTGGAATAAGAGCATCTAAAAATAATTTTGTAATTTATACCAGCTTTGTATGTGTTAATTAACACGAAGGTSTTTTTCTTACACGTGGATGGTGTGCCTTATGACATTGCTTCTATCATTAACTTTATTTCCCATTCACACATTTTATGCTAAACTATGTGTTACTGCAGTTCTAATGTTAACAGTTTTGTTAAATTGGGAAAAATCCAACTTTGCAGCTTGTTAATGTGTATGTTGTTCATGTTACATTCTAGTGTGTTTTATTTTCTGCACCTTTTGACTGGTGTTCAATAGATATAACATATTGTTTATGGTTATCTTACCAAACAAATGTTCATGTGATCAAGCAGCAAGGCAAAATCTCTTTGGAAGCCAGAAATATTTTTCTGATTACCAGACAGGTTTTAACTTCAGCCCAGTCCTGATGAGACCGTGTGCATCTTTAGCTTTTAATTGCTTTAATACACTCCCTACCAACATTTTGTTGCTGAGCAGGTCATAAAAGTTTTTCCTTTGACTAAACCCTTAAAGTCTTAAACTGGAATCAACAGAAAAGAGCAACACCATACTGCTCTGTAATAACTTGACTTTATTCTGACACAAAAGTTTAATTGTAGATAAAAGCAGCAACGAAAGAACATTTAAACAATAAAAACACATTGATTTGAATATGAAGCATTAAATACTCTATATATTAATCCAAGCAGGATCTGATGATTGGAACACAATTTAAAGAGAAAAAATTACAGATCTTCCTTATCAGGATCTGTTTTGTTAGTCATTTTGGACTGTCACTAAGTTTTAGTCATTTTTGTGTTCAGTTCCTAACTTGTGCTTCATGTGTTGTCATTACTGCCACTGTTGCCCCTTTTCCACTAGTGCCACTTAGTGTAGCGTCGGTTCAGTTCAGTATGGTTCCAAGCCATTTCCATTAGGCCAGATCCATAGAACCAGCCCTTTTTTAGTACCTACTTCATTGTGGTTCCAAGCAGCCCCAGCTGACACCAAAATGGGACATCAGAAAACTGTCCGTCACTGATTGGCTAAATCTTTGCAAATTTTTAAAATTTCAACCCATTAAAAAAAAACGACCTAAAAACCACCTCCACCAACCGCCCAAAACACACCCATTGGAACCGGACTGGGATATCAGTGGAAAACCAACCGGTCCGACCCGTACCGAATCGTACCTACACCGGCCGGTCCGACACTACACCATGGAAAAGGGGCAAAGTTCTGTTCCTGCTCCACCCACTCCAACTTGTCTCACCAGGTTTTTACTGTGTTTAGCCKTTATCCATTACCGTCTGTTTGCCCCTCAGTGGAGCATTAAGCATTTCCCTATGCCATCACAGTCCTCCTTGTCTGTTGTAAATAGAGTTTGGCTGCCTCAACAGCACTTGTTTATAATGAAGAAGTAACTGAAATACATCAAYATTTTGTAAATGAAACCTATTTTTTCAGTTTCAAATTTCTGTAAAGAAAAGCTGTCAAGCTTTTCAAATCAAACTCATCAGTGCTTTTCTTTGACAGATTTCGGGCTGGTTTTAAACAAGCATTCCGCTGCTGCCCATGTGTCCCTCAAGGTTCTTATGAAGGACTAGAACTCAAGTCCACCCGCTACCTTCAGACCCAGACGAGCGTCTACAAAGGCAGCCGAATGGAGACCACCGTATCTACAGTTCTTCATGCTGTGGAAGACTCGGAACAGCTCAAAGTCAAGGGTAAAGGAGGCGGGGCTGCRGCTGTGGTGAGACCTCATAGTTCATCACTGGACCTCACCTCAAACGGTTCATCATCCCGAAGTGTCTCCAAAACAGTGTCAGAGACATCTAGTTTCTTCTCCAGTAACAACCTACAGGAATAAGCTTCAAGTACAGGCAGAATTTTACCWGACAGCAGAAAAAGTGTGTGAGTTGACTGCCTTTCCCTGCAAGAGGTCGTGGGAAGTACAGACTGAATGTGTGACTTTCTTTACAGGTGACTGTGAGTTTCTGATGAATGAACTTTCCAGTGTGCTCACTAAAACAACATGTTGGTAAATTTGGTCCCTATTCTCAGAGCACAGCCCATACCCCCAACCTTCTTATAGGAAATAATATCTATGTTTATCATACTTTAAAGTGATAATCTGTGTACCAAAAGTAATGAAAGGCACTCCTTCAACATGTGCACATTCCAGTTAATCCAAGCTAAGCAGATGCTAGCACCTCTGATCTTCACAGCTTTCTGCTCAACACCACAGCCGTCTCTCAGTGCAGGGGGTGGGCTCACACATCCTCAATCACACAAGCTGTGTGATTTCACCCCATCTATTTTGACTTGCATCTTGAGTACAACATGAAGCAGGCATGTGAACACAATTAGATTTAACCGGGGAAGTTCCAGAAGAAGGGACATTTTCTCCAACCACTGTGAGAAAAAAAAAACCTGGTGATCACAGGAGCTCTTACAAAGACAAAGACTCTACCATACAGGGAACTGAGGACCAAGGAACAAAGCATATAATCTGAACTTTGCCTTTGAGAGTTTGTGCATGCATGAGTGTGCATGTGCGAGCTGCCACCTCTTATCTCACAGAGCAGAGCTGGATCAGCAAAACAGTGTTCAGAATGTGTGTTTGTCTGGCTGAAAGWCTGCTCTAAAGATCCCCTGCAGGCTTTGCTGAAAAGTTCTGGAAATCAGCAAAAATACCAGCAGCAACTGGCTCATCTTTCATCTGGCACAGCATTGACTTCAACAGCTGGCAGCATCGGTTTCCTGAAAGCACAGAGCCTCTTAATGCTGAAGAAGCAAAGGATGACATAGAGTGAAAACAAGTTGAACTCATACTGTACCTAGACTGCACAAATGGTAAACTTTGTATTCCAGGGACCATTGGTTTTAACCATGTATAACCTACAACTAACCTATCAACTTTCAGTCATTCAAAACTAGTCAGGGTTTGTCAAACACTAAAGTTTAAAAGCAAAGCACCACTTTCAAACTGTGAAAGACTTCTATTACAGAATTAAGCTGCTCTGCTCTTAACCTGCCTGCTAACTGTGCTCTCTGTCATAAAACTCATGCAGTAATGCCATCGTATCTGTTTATTCCACCATGATGRACGGCAGTTTGCCATGTACTGCCTGCAGCTACAGGCTTTTAGCTTTGCATACCCATAGTTATTCAGGTATTATTTTTCTCGGYCAGAAAACCGTGTAAGATCATTGCATTAGATATTGAGTTCTGAGGCCACCACACCTTGAGCCTCACACCAAACATGAGGCAGGACACCAGACACTGGAATCTTATCCTTTTGGATAGAGGTGTACCGGGACATGCGGTTGTGTGTTCAGTGCATATCTAATCCCATCTACAGTTTGACTGAGGCAACACACATCATGAAGGGAGACAGAGGACAGAGAGCACATTACCCAGGTGATGGGTGGGTGTGCCCACATGAGCCCTAAGAAGAAGGACAATTGGAAAAATAGATGCCCACCTACAGGGGTTAGACAACGAAASTGAAACACCTGTCATTTTAGTGTGAGAGGTTTCATGGCTAAATTGGACCAACCTGGTGGCCAATCTTCATTAATTGCACATTGCACCAGTAAGAGCAGATTGTGAAGGTTCAATTAGCAGAGTAAGAGCACAGTTTTGCTCAAAATATTGCAATGCATACAACATTATGGGCGACATTCCAGAGTTCAAAAGAGGACAAATTGTTGGTGCACGTCTTGCTGGTGCATCTGTGACCAAGACAGCAAGTCTTTGTGATGTATCAAGAGCCACAGTATCCAGGGTAATGTCAGCATACCACCAAGAAGGACCAACCACATCCAACAGGAWTAACTGTGGACGCAAGAGGAAGCTGTCTGAAAGGGATGWTRTGGTCTAAAASCAGGTGTTTCAGTTTCACTGCCTAACCCCTGTATTCTCTCTGCCCTTTAARAATATCACACTCTGTCCCAGATGTGAAATCCTTGTCGATTTGTTCATTCATTCTTTGGAACCTGGTGGTGTTGAATCATTCCTCGCCTGCCTTCACAAGGGCCTGTGCTCAGGTGGRATAAAGCTCCAGAAATTACAACTTCTGTTAAGCACCCTTGTCAGCAAGAGACCTGACTCCAACCTGGAGGGTCCTTTATTAATTGTTCATTTTAAATGACTTCATCATTTCATGTCTTTTGGATTTTATGTTTGTAGCATAAACCTGGCAGATTGTTGGTGAGTCAAGATCTTTATCTGAACATTTCCCCTTAAGCTGTACTTGTTTTATTATGAGGACTCCTGTCTGTAATGTGTAGCAGTTATCTTTAAGAGGTGCTGGTTATTGTTTGAGCAGGAGACAACATCCATCCATCCATTTTCTGTACACGCTTCTTCCTTTTCAGGGTCGCGTGGGTCACTGGTGCCCATTTCCAGCAGTCACAGTGCGAGGGGCGGGGTACACCCTGGACAGGTCGCAAGTCCATCACAGGGTCCAGGAGACAACAATTTTACTAATTTTAAGGGGAAAATTGCCTAGTTTTTCCAGGAACCACACAGCATTGTGATAAACTAACAGAAGTTTGCCAATCATGAGAGAAAAACAGGTAATAAATCACAATTCTGTAAGTTGAACAAGCTCAATAGCTAGACTGTGTCTATGGTGCACCCAGCAGTTTGCAGTTAAAATGATCAGACTCTTTGATATGCTTGTTTGTTGTGTGGTTGATCACTTTAGTCAAATATTTGCATTTTATGAGAAATCGCTTTATCAAAATTTAATCCAGCTGTACAAGCTGCCACGTGTAAATATCAGGTTAAAATGTCTTTGATGACCTTTTTGGTCACAATGTGGAAAGTCAGTGATGTGTATCTCTTTAATATGCAGCGATGTGCCTTGCTGCTTTGCATAATGTCTGTGGAAGTACAAGGAGAGCACAGGAGCAGCTCAGTGCACCGACATTTAGGAAAAGGACAGTTGGGTAGAGGGCTGCAGACACCTACTGGAACTATCTGTCACATTCTGCTGGAATAACTCTCCATCACACACAAATACACAACCACTAAAAAAAAAWAAACTTAAAGCTTGTGTTATGATATTCTTAGTCAGTTTTGTTTAGAATTGGCTTTAATAGAAATGTAGTTTCAAGTGTTACAATTGTGGCATCTGTGAAAAAAAGTTTTATATGTAAAGCTAACTGATTGTTCATGTATTTGTAAATATTCAGTGGAATAAACTAAAGTCAAATGTTTTTGCAAAACTCCTGCAGAGAGCTTAACAGCTACATCTACAAGATTTACATATTTGCTGTGTGCAGAACAAACAAAAGCTCAGACACTTCCACTAAAACGTAGAGCTATCATTARTCAGCCATTAGCCCCCATGATGCAAAGAGCTAATCTAAACAGTTATAGTGAGCCACTGAGGATTCAAATCCCATTTGAATTAAGAGGGTGGGGGGATTTTGTATTTTCCAGGCACATAGTTCAATTCCATACCACAATCAAGTAACTATTTACCTTCAGTTGTTATGAAAAATGTGTATATATTAAAATAAATTAGACTGGGGACTTGCCTGCAGACTGAGCTCCAGGGAGGTGTTTTGTTTAAATATGCGGAGCTTTGTACCATTAATTGTTTAGGCAGCTCCACATGGCTACCATAGGAGATTCGAGGATTTATCAGACATGTATGAATGAGTCAAAGCAACACTCTGGGTGTGTTTGTGATGAGGGAATGGCATTATGATATAAAGCTCAAAAAGGTCAGTTCTGCATAATAACCCCCAGTAARAGAAATGTCTCACATTTTTACATTCTAATGGAATTATGATTGGCACATCATGTTTTGGAATGCACACATAAAAATGAGAATGGTTACATTTTACACTAGACTGCACACGCATGCGCGCGCGCACACACACACACACACACACACACACACACACAATCATGAGAAATAGTCTATTGTCTTATAATTAGAACATGATAAAAATGTCCGGATCTTTATCAGGTTCAAAATTATTCTAATCTAGCCTCAAGTGAACAAAAACACAACCGATTCCACCATGTCAAAATGTTTTAAACAAAAAATTAAGCCAAAATGAAAAAACTGAGTGACAAAGTCCCCTCTGTGAGCCATTTGTTGTAGAACCATCTTTAGTAGCAATAGCTTTGCATGGTCCCTTTTTCTGACTTTATCATCACAAACTTGATTCTTTTTCTTTTTTTCCAGACATTCTGCTGGAGATTTGCTGCTGTATTTGGGGTAATTTATCTGTTTTATTATGACCCAGTTTGGTCCAAGCATCATTTGTCAGACAGATGGTCTCACATTTGACTTTTGAATTCTTTGGTCCACGAATGTTTAAGGTTGACTTAATGACTGCGACTACGTTCAGGTCCTGTGGCTGTAAAACAAGCCCAAGACATCATTGCTCCACGACTGAGCTGACAGTTCATATGAGGCATTTCCCATAATGCTTTGTTCAGACAGAATGCAAAAAATGTCTCTGATGCCTCAGGTTGGACGCTCGTGGACTTTGAAGTCAAAGGTTTAAATCGCTGCAGATGTGCATCAAGCAAAGTGTGGAAAAATGCACCTTAGGAGGAGAATCTTGTTTGTTTTCCTCTGTCAGTCTGTAAAATTGAGAGTGGCTTGACTTTACTGAGAGCTAGAGTATGTCATTTTCGGGCGCTTTGACACCGTGTCTGGATTCACCAGATAATTCTGAAGTGTCTGAGTTTGGTAAGTTTCATCACTCCAGGAACTGCGAGCCCAGTTTGACGAGCTGCTGACCCCCATTGGGGCTCGCATCTCCTGCCAGGACACAGACCACAGGCACTTGATTTCAGCTGAAGAGCGCCTGTTCAGGTTAGTGGACATCATTCAGAAGACTGTCCCATCAGAAAATGCGTCACATAGCAGAGTCTCTCTGATCGGTTGATGCTCCATGACGAGCTGTAGAAGTTCAGATTTTCCAACTACAGCGTCTGCCATTTTGGACATGCTGTACACGTCAAACGCGTAGCGTGAGACGCACCGCAACATTTCCTGACTCCCCTTGACGCATGTCCACCATACACTTTGCATGTAAACCAGAAGTCCCTGACGCGTTCGATCTGAACACAGAAACATGTTTAACTTTCTCCAAACGTGACGCTGTGCATTTTGGATAAACATCTCTACTTTAGTCTCGTCTTTGCAAGGGACATAGTTCCTGACATTTTGTGGGCATTTGCTTCTCTAAAGTCATTGCTGATGTTTTTCCATCTTGGCATCATGTAAACACACACCTATATGCTACAGAGCAGCAAACTGACAGAACTTCTGCTTAGGAGAGGTGTTCACACAGATCATTCATTCATTCATTCATTCATTCATTCATTTAAACAGTAACACCTGACTGATACTAAACCTCTAAAATCATACATAAGCAGTATGAATGGACTTAATGTCCACACAGTTTTTCCAGTTTTACTGTGTTCTTAATAAAGAATGACATTGTAGAATATTTTGAGTGTTTTTGTTCACTTTAGGTCAGATTTAAATCATTGACAGACATTGTAACAACCATATCMTTTTTTATTATGTCTGATGTGTAAAAACCTTAACATTAAAAAAGGGATGTACTGTCTTTCTTCCTCTCCATGGTAGATAAGCACATCAAAAACCTTCCTGCTGGTCACAGTAAAGACCTGGCACATGACTGGAACAACATGAGTTTACATTCAGAACCATAGAACAAAGTGAGGCAAACAATGCAGACAAAAAAAATCTAATTAGCAAAGAGCAGCAAAGAGCAGCAAAGAGTGCTGCGAAGGCCTATTGTTTTCCACGTGTTCATTATTATCATTGTTCTCCCGCCTCTTTTGGAGCTTATTTGGAGGCCTTAACTCTTATAAAAACTCACCAAACTTCACCAAAATGTCTCACCCACCGAAAATTGCATGATTCCAAAGGAATTTTTAATGGGCATGGCCAAATGACTCGACAGCGCCACCTAATGTGAG